GTCTGGCACTTTGGAGAAAATCAAGGACTCGCTGGAGGGATTATGTACCCCCTCTGGTCTGGGAACGTCTCGGTGTACCCCAGGACGAGCTGGAAAGTGTCGCTGCGCAGAGCGCGGGGTCTCTCCTGCTGCCCCCCCACACCCCCCGCCGCACCCGATAGTGGATAAGCCGGCCGGCCGGACAATTAATTGTTAGTCTAAATTATTACATTTAAAATTATAACTCTAATTCAAGCAGAATAGCATAATTATGGAGTGTGATTTATTTTCACCTCAAAATATCTTCAAACTAACGAAATATAAAGTTATTAGGGAGGAAAACCCGTCTGGATAACAGCAGACTGGCTGTTCGTAAAATCTACGACAGGTCTGGACCACTCGTGAATTTTGTTCGTATCTGAAAAAAATCTTAGAATACGAAAACATTGGTGATTGCCACAAATTGTCCTAAATCACTCGTACGCACAATTTAAGAACAAATCTGTGCGTACGAACGGTTCTTGCATGAGGCCCAATATGAGGACACTCTGGCCCCTGGTCGCCGACCCCCAACGCCGACAGCATCCTGCTCCCACAGCGATCACAGCTCTGAATCTGATGACGAGGAGGAAGAGGTGCTTTAGACAGAATCTGATGACGACACAGCTGCTGATAACCATCCTCAGACACCACCTCATATGAGCACCGACCCAGTGAAGCAAGAGCCACCACAGCCAAAGCCGAGACAGGTGACTGAAGCAGCTGCTACAAAGATGGAACTCAGAAAAAGACAGGAAAAGCAAGGTGCAGCAAAAGCCCCCTGCCCCTCCACCTCTCGGTCAAAGACAGGGTACCACAGCTCTGATGCTATGGCACTGAAGACTGCAAAGAAACTGGCTGAACTGCAGGAGGGAAAAAAGGCTCTGGAATCACAGCTAGCAGTGATCACTCAGAAGACCAGTGAGCTGACCCTGCCCATGCTAGAGGTCGCAGGACATACAGGTCCAGCACTGGTGTTCCGTCCTTGGACAAATGAGGACATGAAGGCGTACATGCAGCAGCTACCGAACGTTGTGGAAGGTGGGAAAAAGTTCTGCGCTGCCATTAAAACTTTCTGCATGGAAGTACAACCCACCTGGCCTGAATTGAGGAGACTGCTACTCTTTCACATGGGCCAAACCAACTTTGACAAGATTAAAGGTGACCTGGTGGGTGAATACCGTGTCATACATCTGACTTTTGATGACGCAGCAAACAACCACTATCGAGCTGCATTGGATAAGCTGTGTGCCACCATCAACCGAGCTTTTCCAAGAAAGGTTGTCATGTCAAAAGTGAAGGCCTGTGTACAGCAAATGGCTGAATCAACGAAAGACTATTTCTCTCGGCTGCTAGCTGTCCATAATGAGTACTCTGGAGTTGACGAGCCGTCAGACCTGGGTGACGTGATGGGGCATTGGGAGAGCGCCTTCAGCCAATATTTCCTGAATGGCCTGTTGCCTGATGTTTTTGCAGTGATGAAAGACACCTGTCTGGACATGAAAAACGCTCGCTTGGAAAAACTGCGCAAACATGCCAAATGCGCGCATGAGAAGCTGAAGGATGAAAGAGAGGCTGAAGATAAGCTGATATCTGAAGCCCACAGGCAAACACAGCTCACACTGGCCCACACTGTGACAAAACCAGCTGCTCATTTCCCTCGCGGTCGGGGGAGAGGCCGCGGTAACTGGAAGCATCAGCAGCCTGCAAAGAAACCTCCAAATTCCTATTGCTACATTTGTGGGGATCCGAACTACTGGGTTAAAGATTGCCCGAAGAGGATCATCAAAGGGGAGACGGTTGCCCAAGCTGACTAAGTGTGGGACAGGGCCGGGCGGAGCTTCAGCAGGGGGGGACGGGGACGCCAGAAGCACAGACGGTCCAGGCTGCGAACAGTAGGCTTTCTGCACCTTCTGAGATAAGTAAAAATGCACACACACACACGCCAGCTGGTGAGAAGGCACACACACACCTGTTGAGTTCTCCTGAAGTCAACACAGAGGCTTCTCACACACCTACATACACACACAGTTATGTCAAATACTTTGCTGAGGCGTACAAGCTGTATCCGACTTTTGTTCTTCTGGTTGATAAAAAAAAACATTGTTTTCCTTGTGGACTCAGGTGCCACGCACTCTGTCACAAAAACCTCTGATGCTCCTTCACTAGTGCAGAGCAAAGATTATAGTTTTTTCTACTGGAGCTTCAGGGAAGTGTGTGCGTGAGTGCTTTGCTGAATCAGTAGAGTGTTCAGATCTTGGTGAGAACAGCTTTGACAAAAAAAACACTGAAACATAGATTTTTGCTATCAGCTAACTGCCCTGTGAATCTTCTGGCAAGAGATTTTATCTTGAAATTTGGCCTGAGCTTAGTTTCAACTCCCACAGGGCTAAAAGTAATTAGATAGCCAACATCATTCACATGCCCTGCGCTCACAGATGACCATCACATGTTTGTCTGTAAGTAGAAAATTGATGAAGCTGCAGCTGTTTATCTGACACTCAAAACGAGGGAGGTAATTAACCCCTCCGCAGTGAATCAGGAGAATGCTCACCTACACTATTAAGCTTTCACAACAACTTCTTTAGGAGATCCTTTTGCTGAAAGTTTCTTTGAGTTTTTTGAAAACTTTCTGTGCACAGATTTTATGTATTGGGGCTCAGAACGTTGTGCTGTTTCGGTAAAACTAAATCATGCCCAGAGTGAGTTCCATATGATTTCTGGATCTCTTCCTCACATCGCTTTGGCTAAAGCTCCATCTGACACTTGGATGAGTTGGGGCCATTCCTGTTATGCTGTGTGAGCACCTGTGATTGGTTTCCCACAGCGACACCTGGGGTTGACTTCTCCCCTCTCTGAAAGTTTACAAAACAAAGAGTGAACTCTCTATAGACTGTTTTCGTTCTGTGTGCCAGCTGCCTGACATCAAAGTCGATTGTCTAACCGCCCTGGTCATAAATGAGTCTGGCTCCATTGCTGACTGTCTATCTCAGATCCCAGATCATTTATGGGCAAAAAGCAAATGTGATGTTGGTTTGATAAAAGGTGTTGAACCGGTGATTGTGACCCCTAAATCTGATTTTAGGCCAAAACTGAAGCAATACCCTTTAAAAAAGAAGCTGTTGATGGAATCACCCCTGTGTTTGAATCTTTGCTAAAGGCTGGTGTCATTGTGCAGTGTGAGGCTTCACCTGTATTAACAACCATTTTCCTGTGAAAAAAATAAGAGAAATACCACCCCACGAGTGGCGCTTTGTCCAGGATCTCAGGGCAGTAAACTCTGCTTTTGTCGCGAGAGAAGCGGTTGTCCCAAATCCTTACACTATTTTCTCGCAAATACCAGCTGGGGCCACGTGGTTTAGTGTGATCGATCTGAGTAATGCATTTTTCAGCATTCCTGTTGACAAAAATAGTCAGTTCTGGCTTGCATTTGAGTTTAAAGGTGCTTGTTGCACTTTTACAAGGCTGTGCCATGACTATGTAGAATCTCCACCCATTTTTCATGAAGCTTTGTGCAAAAACCTGTCATCATTCACGCTGTCACCTGGACCTGCCCTTTTGCAGTACATTGATGACCTTTTGGTGGCCTTCCTTTCTAAGGCCCAGTGTGAGAAGGACACTGTGGCATTGTTATGTTATCTGGCGGAGCAGGGTCACAAGGTCAGTCTCTCTAAGCTGCAGTTTATAAAACAGCAGGTGTCATTCCTAGGGCATGTCTTATCTGCTGCAGGTAGGATGCTGTCTCTGCAGCGTGTCTCAGCCATCACTTCCCTGCCCCGTCCTGTCACAAAGAAGCAGCTGATGTCTTTTCTAGGGTTGGTCGGCTATTGTAGACATTTCATCATTAACTACTCGCAGTTAGAACGGCCACTTAGAGAAATTCATCATGCCCCCGGCCTGGTACCGTCTGGCATTGTTTCTTGGTCTTCTGAAGGAGAGGAAGCGTTTGTGGTTTTGAAAAAGGCTCTGCAGAGTGCTCCATGTCTGGGAACTGCAGACACGACACAACCATTTTATCAGCATGTTGACGAAAGATCTGGCTGCATGACCTCGGTGCTAAGCTAGATGCATGGTGATAAAATGAGACCTGTGGCTTTTTTAGCGCTAATCTAGATGCAGTAGCTGCTTGGTTGCCTAAATGTTTGCGCGCTGTCGCAGCTGCTGAAAAAGCTATTTTAGCGTCACGCGACATCGTGGGGTATTCAAATCTGACCTTGTTTGTCCCCCACGCTGTAGACCAGATTCTAAATGAACAAAAAACATCACATCTCAGCGTGTCCCGTTATACGCGTTATTTTGCGTGTGCTCGAAGGCCCCAATGTCACAGTGCGTCGCTGCTCAGCTCTAAATCCAGCCACGCTAGTTCCTTTGTCTGACGAAGGACTCCCCCATGACTGCGTCGCAGAGTTAGAGCTGAGTTGCAACCCTCGTCCGGACCTGTCTGATAAACCTCTGAGTCTACCTGAGGCTCACCTGTTTGTAGACAGTTCAGCACGACGGGACATGGTAACAGGTGAAAATAAGTTGGGTTTGCTGTGGTGAATGAGAATGCTGATGTAAACTGCTCCTCCTCATTACCTAGTCACCTATCTGCTCAAGCAGCAGAGTTGATAGCTCTAACAGAAGCTTGCAGATGGGCTGAAAACAAAAAAGTAAATATTTACACTGACAGCAGGTACGCTTTCAGGGTGGTGCATGATTTTGGGGCGCTTTGGAAACACAGGAAATTTCTGAAATCTGATGGTTCACCAATTTTGAATCATAAACTGGTGGCCGCACTGCTGGAAGCCATTCTTTTGCCAAAACAAATAGCAGTCTGCAAATGTGCTGCTCACTCGAACGGCACTGACCCAGTTTCTGTTGGAAACAGAATTGCTGACGATGCAGCTAAGGAAGCTGCTTATGGCCCACAATTGTTTACATTGTTTGAAGACAAGGCCGCAGAGACTTGCTCGCTGAGAGACATGCAGTCTTTCTCCACTGCTCCCGAGAGGCAGGCCTGGAAGAAAGCAGGTTGTAACTTTGAAAATGACGCTTGGATGGGTCCTAACTCTAAGCCTTGTCTGCCGAAACATTTTTTCAACCATTTTGCAAAACTGTCCCATGGCTTGGATCATGCATCTAAGTCTTGGATGATTTCTATGATAAACACACACTGGTTTGCCCCTGGTTTCACAACTGTTGCTCAGAAATACTGTCAGTCCTGCATGATCTGTGCTAAGCTCAATGCAGGGAGGCCGATTAAGGCTAAAACTGAAGCAGCCCATCCAGCACCTTCACGACCTTTTGAGCATTTACTGATGGATTTCATTGCGTTAAGTCCAGCTGAAGGGAAAAAGTATTGTTTGGTTTTTGTTGACATGTGGTCAAAATGGGTGGAGGCATTCCCAACATCTACACAAACTGCTTCTGATGTCGCCAGGTGCTTGTTATCTGAAATAATTCCACGTTGGGGGATTCCTGAAAAGATCTCAAGTGATAACAGTAGACACTTTGCCAATGAAGCCATTTCTGAGCTTAGTAAATATCTTGGTATTGACCTGAAAAAGCATTGTGCTTACCATCCGCAGAGTGCACGTGAAGTTGAACGGGAAAATGGCACAATAAAACAGAAACCGGCAAAGTGCTGCAGTGAAACAGGCTTATCCTGGCCAATGGCTTTACCATTGGTCCTGTTTTACATGAGAGCAAGGAGAAGGAGCAGAAGTAATCTTGGTCCTTTTGAAATCATTTTTGCTGTACCACCAAATGTGGGTTTGAACGCTGAGATATCAGCAATCTCATTCACAAATTTGTGTGAAGATAAGATGTTGGCCTATTGTTCTAAACTGTCCTCTCTTTTTGACTGTGTTCGTTCGCAGGTAAAAGCTGCTCTCCCGACTCAGGCGGACCACCCCCTCCATGACCTGAGGCCCGGTGACCACATCCTGGTGAGGAACCTCAGACTGGCATCCTGGAAGTCCGAGCATTGGCTGAGTCCGTTCCAAGTTCTACTGGCTACCCGGACGGCCGTGAAAATCGCAGAGCGTGCGACTTGGATCCACATCTCCCATTGCAGGAAGGTCCTGCATCCCCCCAGGGTAGCACCCCCCAGAGTAGCACTGGATGGAACTACTCCTACATCTGAGCACGAGGCCACTGCTACAACCTCTGCTCCTGTTTTGTGATTGGCTGATCACATATCCTTTGAAGTTAAAGATTACACCTAAGCCGAGAAAAATGGCTGGGTGTATTGTTGCTGGACTGTTTTTTTATGCTCTTTTTCACCCCATTCATCTGTGGGCGTGTTCCAGAACTGATTAATCAAGATGCCCCCCACCCACCCGGGTTGAAAGCTCATTCCACCTGGATCAATGACTATACGCACCGGCCTAATATCTCTGTGACAGCTGGCACCACTAGCACTGTCATTTTAAACCCGTGTGACTATTTTCACTGTTCGGACATTACTGTTATGATATGGGCTGAAATGTATGTCTGTTACAGCGTTCCTGATGTGTGCCCCACCTGCAGTTCCTGGTCAGAGGCTCTTTGGACAACAGGTTATTCTGACTGGGGATACACACTTAAACATGATGTCTCTGATATTGAGAACAGGATCAAAATCTGGAAAGTAAACAACACTTCTCCAGCTATTATGTTCCACGTTGAAAATGCTGTTTTATCTGACACAGGTTTTTACACCATTTGTGCTTATCTCACTGGCTACGACGTTTGTGCACCTTTCTGGCTATCTGTTCGTGTCCCAAATGTTATCTCCAAGTTATCTCCTGTTTTCAGGTCCTTAGACGCTGGGTTTCCTGGGGGGCTGAACGTTACCCTCCTGCTCTTGCTGGTGTGGCGTCTAAGGGTCAAGATGGGAATCTTTGGTGGAACACGGTCAGGTCTATTCTGCAAACTCCTGGTTTAAACACGTCCTGCTATGCCTGTACTTTGTGTCCACATGATGCAAGCATGTCTCTTCCTGTTAGGCCTCACCCTTTGAACTCTACTGATTTCTTGTGTGCTTTGATGGTGTTGACTCCTCCTTTCTTAAAGGGGTCCAACGGCTGGGTTTATGCTAGAACAGGCCTTCCAGCACCTTGTGAACACATGTCTCGTGTTGCCATCAGAGCCACAGATAGCAGTGCATTATGCACTGATGACTTTTCTTTATTTGAACCAGTGGGGACTGTTCATCCCTCATACAGTTCCATGTCTCATCTCTTTTGTGTTCACAGAGCACGGAGCCCTGATAGACTCTTCCTTGCGAGACAGAAGGCTGTCTACAAACTGTTGACAGTACCTGTGCTCCGCCCCCTTTTGGCATCTCTCCCTGCATTGTTCGCCGTGTGCCTTCTAGGATTAAATCACACAAACTCTCTTCATCCTTTGCCGTTCAGGCCTATCTTCTTGCCTGGCCTGATGACGTGGGAGCAGGATGTCCCCAGGATTATGTCTGGTTATGTAGTGTTCACTATTACCTATTTATCCCGCCAAATTGGTCAGGTACTTGCATTTTAGTTGATGTAGGGGTAACCCTGGTGAAAAAAAAAAATTTATTGTTTTTTCTTTGTCTTTGATTTTATTTTTTTTTTTACACTTATAAGAAGAAAATCATTTTAAAGTGTTTTT